CAAACAACGAGAAGCCACTGAATGGCTTTAAATGGAAGAATGACAAGGCAAGATCTCATTTTGTATTTTCCTTTGTGCTTTAGGCTCCAGTGGATTTAGATACATACCAAAGCTCCTACATGATTGACTACAAACCCTATGGGAAGCACAAATATTCCAGGATCACACCGCAAGAGGTAGGAAGGCAGGAAGGTCCTGTCATCTAATCAGTGGTCCACTGAAATCATCTTTATTCCATGTTTATTATGAGTGTTGACATTGGGCACTTATTTGGAACAATATCCAAAGCCAGGCGACCTGACTTGGAGGTCTTTTGAGTGTGTGTGTGCACGCGTGTGCAGGCATGTATATGTGTATATTTTAAAATCACATCAAATACATCATGCATACAAGAGATTGTAAACAATATACATTTACAGTTGAAATAAACCTGATAAAAGAAACACCAGTGTACCACTATCAGCCAGCTGAAAGCATGGCACATTTACAGTGCCTTAGGGGCTCCTGTGGACCCCCCAAGCTTAACTCTCCCCTCACCTCCAGAGGTAGCCAATATTCTGAGTTTGGGGTTAATCATTCCCCTAAATGTTAATATTTTTAATATGTTTTTCTAAAAAGTCATTTCTTCCCATACGAATGTATCTCTTTAAACAAATTGTTTAGTTTTGCCTCTTAAACTTTATTATTTATTGAATTTGTACTCTTCCATAACTTTCGCTTTTTGCTAAGCATTATGGCATATTATTCGTTTCCTGCTGTGTTGTATGATGTTGCATGAATATTCATCAACACATTTGCCCCTTCTCCTATTGGTGGACATTTGGGTTACTTACTTTTTCCCACTCTTCCTCACTCCCAAATGCAATGAAGATGGAACACATCCACATCCTAATGTGCAAGAATTCATCCATCCCAGGAGTGGAATTGCTTGTCATAGGGTATTAGGTGAAATCACTGTTTTCGAAAGTGCTAAGACCAAGTTACATTACCACCAGCAACAGATGATCACTTCTGTTGCTCTGTAATCTTGCCATTACTTGGTATTGTCAGATTTTTTTTTTTTTTTTTTTTTTGTAGAAAAAACAAAGTGTCTCACTTTGTTGCCAGGGTTAGACTGCAGTGGTATGATCACAGTTCACTGCAACTTCAAACACCTGGACTCAAGGAAATCTCCTGCCTCAGCCTCTCGAGTAGCTGGGACTACAGGTGTGAGCCACCACATCTGGCTAATTTTTCGTAGACTCGGAGTCTCACTTTGTTGCCTAGGCTGGTCTCAGATTCATGGCCTCAAGTGATCCTCCCACCTTGGCCTCCCAGTGCTCAGTTATTCATGTCTTTTGCCCCTTTTTCTAGTGGATTGCTTGTGTCTTTTTCTTATTACATTGTAGGAGTTCTTTAATATTCTGGGCGTCTTTCATTTGTCAGTTATATATGTGGCAAAACTCTTCTCTGGTTTGTGGTTTGTCTTTGTACTCTATTTTTCAGTGAATATAAATTCTTATTTTTAGGCCAGGCATGGTGGCTCATGCCTGTAATCCCAGCATTTTGGGAGGCCAAGGTGGGAGGGTCACTTGAGGCCAGGAGTTCAATCCAGACTGACCTTGTCTCTACAAAAAATAAAAATACATTAGTTGGGCATGGTGATATGTCCCTGTAGTCCCTACTATTCAGGAGGCTGAGGTGGGAAGATTGCTTGAGTCCAGGAGCTTAAGGCTTCAGTGAGCTATGATTGTGTCACTGCCCTCCAGCCTAGGTGACAGAGCAAGACCCTGTTTCTAAAAATAAATAAATAAGTTCTATTTTTAACATAGTCAGATTTATTAGTCTTTCCCTTTATCATTTTCTCTTTTCAAGTCCCAGGAATCTTTTCCTATCCTGCAGTATCCCCACTAAAAATAAGAAGATCTATACAAAGAAAGATAGGGCAATTTCTAAGATACATCATTTAATGGAAGCAAAATGCAGAAGGAAATATAATAATGTGCATCGTGTGTGTGTACAAGCCAGGCAAAGGAGACATACACATGCGTTTATATGTACATAAAATATTTCTGGAAAGGTACAGAAAACACTGATAACAGTGGTTGCCCCTGGAGATGGGATTCCAGGGAGGAGGAGAGTGGGAAAGAGACTTTATTATAAGCTCTTTTGTATTATTTCAGTATTTCCCCCTGCTGTATATATTACCATTCAAAGACTAATTTTAAGTTTTAAAAAATAAAGCTGTGCTCTGTCTTGGATGCTTCCCCAAAAAGCTGCGGTGTCTGTCCCCTTGCTCAGTCCTGCACTCACGTGTGACTCGTTTCCACAGCAGGCCAAGCTCCAGGCGCAACTGCGGCAGAAAGAGTTTTATAGGCCCGTCCCCAGCCCCAACCCTACGCTAGCGGATGGATACCCTGCCTTCAAAAGAGTCCACATGACTGCCAAAGACCTGGGCATCCCTGGCTTCTTCCCGCCACAGGACCACGGGGCCACTGGGGAGGACGAGTGCAAGTTCCCCCGCACCTGCCGTTTCACAGACCCGGCTTCCCGCCACCTGCACCTGGCCCACGGCGATCCCTACCGTGTCTACCGGAGCGCCGACTTTCCGTGCCTCCTGGAGCCCGAGTGCCAACCTGCTCCAGAGGAGGGCAAAGGCTATATTCTACTGCCCGGCTGCCCCTGTCCTCATCACCCTACAGTCAAGGTCCCCATCTTGAACCGATGGGGACCCTTGCTGCCATTTTACCAGTAGGAAGGATGAGAACACCTTCCAAGGGGTGTTCCAAGGGCTTGTGGAAGTCCTATGTCCTGCGCTCTGCCCTTAGTGTGCAGAAAAGGGAACCGAAAATAAAACCAGAAAGATGTTCCCACAGCAGTGGGACTGCTCATTCCACCTGACTCCCCTGCCTGCACTGGGCCACGGCATCCTCACTGCACAGGGAGGGAGGGAAAATCGCTGTGTATGCAGAACTGAAATTTGTGTCATGTTTTATTATAATTAAGAGTCCTGGGCCGGGTGTGGTGGCTTACTCCTGTAATCCCAGCACTTTGGGAGGCCAAGGCAGGAGGATCGCTTGAGGTCAGGAGTTTGAGATTACCCTGGGCGATACTGTGATACACCCCCTGCCCCCACCTCCACAAGAAAATAGAAAAATTAGCTGGGCATGGTGTCATGCACCTGTAGTCCCAGCTACTCCGGAGGGTGAGGCAGGAGGATCCTTTGAGCCTAGGAGTTGGAGGCTGCAATGAGCCATGATGATGCCATTGCACTCTAGTCAGGCAAACAGAGTAAGACCCTATCTCAAAAAAAAAAAAGAAAGAAAGAAAGAAAAAGAGGAAAAAAATGGCTGGGTGAAACGGCTCTTGCCTGTAATCCTAGCACTCTGGGAGGCCTAGGTGGGAGGATCGCTTGAGCTCAGGGGTTCGAAACCAACCTTAGCAAGAGTGAGACCCCATCTCTACCAAAGGAAAAAACCCAGCTGACCTAGAGATTCACTGGGTCTGGAGTGAACTCCAGGAATCTGCACTTTTATCCAGTTCACTGGAGGTTGAGTCTTTGGTGCTCTGCAGAAGAGGATGCAGAGCTTCTGAAGTCTCAGACAGACAGCAGTAAATCCCTGCTGGAGGGAAGCTTGTAACTGGGGGAGGGGGTGGGGGAGTAGATCAGAGCATGCATGTGTTGAAATATCTTGCATTAGTCTGTTTTATATTTCTATAAAAGAATACCTGAGACTGGGTAGTTTATAAAGAAAAGAGATTGATTTAGCTCATGGTTCTGCAGGCTGAGAAGTTCAAGGGCATGGCCTTGGCTTCTGGGGAGGGCTTCTGTGCTGCATCACAGCATGGCAGAGACAATCCAAGGGCAAGCAGGCTCATGGGAAGAAAGGAAAAGCTGAGAGGCATCCTGGCTTTATAACAGCCTGCTCCTGCAGGCATCCCCACAAGATCTAATCCAGTCTCTTGGGAGCTAGAACTCACTTACTACATCTGGAACAGCACCAAGCCGTCCATGAAGGATCTGCCCCCCATGACCCAAACACCTCCCACTAGGCCCCACTTCCCAACACTCCCACACTGGGGACCACATTTCAACACGAATTTTGGTGGGGACAAACCATATCCATACCATAGTATATTTATCTCAGAGTCTGGCGACGGGGGTGGCTCGACGCCGTGTAAGGTCCTAGCACTCTGTGTGAGGGCCAGAGGCGGGGCGGGAGGGATCCGTTGGAGCGTCGAGGAGTTGAGGACAGCCTGAGCAAGAGCGAGACCCTGTTTCTACTAAAAATAGAAAAAAATTAGCTGGATAACTGAAAGGTATATTAGTACTCTATAACATATTAGCTGGGGCATGGTGGCACAGGGCTGTAGTCCCGAACTCAGGGGAGGCTGAGGGCCAGGATTGCGTTGGAGCCCAGGAGTTTGAGGTTGCTGTGACTAGGCTGGAGGCACGGAGCACTCTAGCCCCTGGGCAATAGAGTGAGACTCTGTCTCTGAAAAAAAAATTAACCTTATGAAAAAAATTATCATGAACAAAATCATAAAAAAAACAAGAACAGCCAGGCTGCGGGTGGCTACTGCGGGTAAGTCGCAGCACACGTCTGGGGAGGCCGAAGGCTGGCGATTGCTCGGGGTCAGGAGTTCGAAACCATGCCTGAGTGGAGACCCCCTCTGCGTCACTATTGAAAGAAAGAAATTAACTGGCCAAGCGTGAAGGTAGGGTAGGGGTAGTGGGGTAGGTAGGTATAGTATATATATTAGTTAAAAAGTTAGGCCGGGGCATGGGTGCGGCGATGCTGTAGTCCCAGCTACTCGGGGAGGCTGAGCAGCCAGGATTGCTTGGAGCCCACGGATGATTGAGTTGCTGTGAGGTAGGCTGACACGCATGGCACGGTCACTTAGCCCTGGGCAACAAAGTGAGACTCTGTCTCAAAAAAAAAAGAACAAAGTAGGAAAACTTAAATGACAAAATTATCTGGGTCCCTTCTACACTTTTTTTTTTTGAGACAGAGTCTAGCTTTGTTGCATAGGCTAGGCGAGTGCCTGGCATCAGCCGAGCTCACAGCAACCTCAAACTCCTGGGCTCAAGCAATCTAATGCCTCAGCGCCCTGAGTAGCTGGGACTACAGGCATGTGCCACCATGCCCGGCTAATTTTTTCTCTATATATTATTTAGCCAATTAATTTCTTTCTATTTATAGTAGAGACGGGGTCTCGCTCTTGCTCAGGCTGGTTTTGAACTCCTGACCTTGAGCAATTCACCCACCTAGGCCTCCCAGAGTGCTAGGATTACAGGTGTGAGCCATGGCGCCGGGCCCCCTTCTACACTTTGAAGAAAAAGAACAACAGTACTGAGAAAAAGTGATTGTTAAAATTCAATCATTCATTCATTTAGCACATATTAATGCTTATGTACCATGCATAATTTGAAGTGCTATGAATACAGCAAAAATAAAAATAATAATATAACCAGGCGATTCCATTCCAGCTGGGGTAAACGACAACAAATTAAATAAGGGAAGCATATAGAATGTTGGCAGGTAATAAGTGAAACAGAGAAAAACAAACCAGGTGGGGAAGCTCAGAGAGCTATGACACCAGGCAGAGGTTCTGCAGGTTCCCCAGAGCAGGTGACATTTGAGCAAAGCCTTGAAGAAGGGAAGCCTTTCACGTGAGGAGGACTGGGACCTAATGACCGGGGAGTGCAGACCCTGAGCAAGGGCCCAAGAGGCAGTGTCAGAAGAGTGAGGTCTGAGAGGTGACAGGGGTCCCTCCTCGGGATTGTCTTGCGGCAGGCGAGCTGTTATAAAGGCTGTGACTTTTATTTTGAGTGAGCTCGGAGCTGCTGGAAAGCAATGAGCAAAGGGGTGACATAACCTGGTTTCTGCTTTAGAAGAATCACTTTGGTCTCCAGGTAGAGACTGAGGGGACAAAGGGAAAAGTGACGAAGTCAACTGACATCACCCAGGCAAGAAGTGGCAATGGCGTGGACCAGAGTGGTCACTTGGGAAGCCGAGAAGGCAGAGAAGTGGTTGGATTCTGAGTGTGTCTGCAAGCAGAGCCCAGGGAATTTCCTGAGGGATAGGCAGAGTATATGTGACATTGACAATGACTCTGTTTTTTGGTTTGTTCAAAGCAGAAAGGTGAGCTGCTTTTTGTTGAGATGGAAAGGACGACAGTCCAAATGGGTTTGGGGGAAAGATCAGTTTGTTTTTAGAAACATTAAGATTGAAATGTCCCTAGGCATTGAGGAGGCAGTCAGCCACCCAGGGCAGAGATTGGGAGAGAGGTCAGGGCTGGCTGGAGACAGACTCGTGGCAGGTAACAGCATATGGATGATACTGAAAATGAGATCTGGCCCCTTGCCAAGGGGTGGAAGCTGTCCAAGGGCTGAGGTCTAGAAAAGGTCACGGTTGAAAGATCAGGGAGGTGGGAAGGAGCTGCGAGGTGGGAGGAAAGCCAGGGGTGTGGTGTTCTGGAGAGCACGTGGAGAGAGGTGTCCGAAGGAGAGGGATCAACAGGTCAGGGGGTCAGGTGCTGTTGCTGGCTGGGCCTGGAAGGATGGGCCTGAGGACTTGGCACTGATGTAGCAAGATTATTGGTGACCTGCAGGGTGCCTGGGGGCTGAAGCCTGAATCAGGGAGGGAAGAGGGCGATCTAGAGAGAATGAGAGAACCATTGAGAAGTTTACAGTAAGAGGGGCATAAAAATGGACAAAAAGGGGGGAAGTTAACAGAAAAAGGAAATACACATGGTGTTCAAACATATGGAAAGATGCTGAACTTCATAATCACGTACATGCACGTGTAGACAACAAAGAGATGTCATTTTACACCCATCAGAGCAGGAGAGATTGAAGAATTGATACTATAGTGTTGGGAAAGGCGGAGAAGCCAACTCTCACCCACTGTTGCCAGGACTTTAAAGTGGTACAACCTTTCTGGATGGTAAGAATGCACTTTCACTTCAGCCCGGCAGTTCTTCTCCTAGGAATTTGTCCCCATGGATAGAATCATTTGAGGACTTTGTACAAGCATATTCACAGCACTGTTAATTGTACTACGATTGCCAAATACTGGAAGCAAACCAAATGTCCATCAGCTGGCCTCACTGTGCAGCCATAAGTAGGACACAGACAGCCACGTGTACGGATGCGGAATGGTCGTTATGAGTTAGAAAATGAAGAAGGTGTGGCACAGAGCTGAGCGCATCATCTCCTCTCGTTTGTGGCAGAGGTGGACACCTGCATACATGACTGCACAGGTCTGGAAGGTCTGTGCGAGCACACACAAGAAACCGAAAATAGCGATTGCCCTGGGGAAGAGGACTGGGGCTCAAGGCGGGGAGAGGCACCTTTTACTTCCTATCCTTTTGTACTGTTGAAATTTTAACCACACACATGTTCTGTCTGAAGAATTAAATTAAAAATAAAAACTTACACAGTGGGGTCATAGAATGCAGAGTTGGAGAGGACTGTCCAGTCACCTCACCAAGTGGTACTCACACCCAGCCCCGGGCTGGGCTGCATCAGCATCACCTGGGGGCTTGTTAAGGCACAGATTCCCAGCCCTGCATTGATGGGCCGAGGCACCCGCTGGTGGCCCTGTTGCTATCTGGATGACAGCTCCACAGGCCGGTCAGAAACAGCCAGGAGAATGCAGTGGGCACTGTGTTCACCACTATGTACAATTTCCTGGAGAAAGTGAGGGCTTTCCCATAGCCATCTTCTCTTCTATATTAACAGAATCCCTAAGCTTTTTGGCTGAGCATGGCCACTTGGAATAAAGACTACAATTCCCAGCATCCCTTGCATAAAACATGGCCATCTGACTAAATTCCAACCAATGGGCCATAAGCAAATTTATGTGTGCACCTTACCCGGATTGTGCTT